AGCACATATCAGGGGCTGTTTGGCCGCTTCCACCGGTGGTCTGGGGTTCGTTCTTGGAGACCTGGTAGTATTAGGCAAGGGGATGGTGATCCAGACCAGAGCAGCAGCGACAGCTGGAACACCAATGATGCTGCAGTCTCGTTGGACCACTCTGGGTCTTCAGAGGATGAGGATTGTGGGGCCAAGGAGATGATTTCCCAGAGTCATGCTATTTTCTCCATTGTTCTCAGCCTGCCTGGTATAAGGGCTGCTGTCAACTCCCAACTCACATCATGTGAGGATCTGGGTGAAGCCTCAGAAGAGGACCCCCTCAGGGGAGCAGAGTATAACCGAGACGGTCTCTCAACAGTCACCACCAACACAACTGCCGCCGCTATTCCCGATGGGGCAAACAGTTTAGAAAATAGCTTCCACCGCTTATGTTCACGCAAGTTTCAGTCAGTACCTACCATACAGGCTAACTCTAACCAAGGGTCTCTGGAGGGTCCCCCAACAGCTGTTACCACTGCCCCTGACAGTACCACCAGCATAGCCACCAAGCCCCCCTCTGTCTCAATGTCTTTGAAAGAGGCAGCTATGGCAAAGCGTTTTGCAGCCCGAGCTCGGACTCAAATCACCAAGAGGAAGCGCATGTCATTAGTGAAGGAAAAGAAGGCAGCTAAAACTCTCAGTGCCATCCTCTTTGCTTTCATCATCACATGGACACCTTATAACATCATGGTGCTGATCAATGCCTTCTGTAACGGTTGCATCCCAAAGACTTTGTGGGACGTAGGATACTGGCTGTGCTACGTTAACAGCACAGTCAACCCCATGTGTTATGCCCTCTGCAACAAGACTTTCCGTACAACCTTTAAGATGATACTGCTTTGCCAGTGGGACCAGAAAAAACGGAGGAAGCAGCAGTTCCTGCAGAGAGATTCAGTGGTCTTTCACAGGAAGATTCCTGGAGAGTCCACGTAAAGGACAGGATGTTTGGATGGTTGATAACAGAATCAGAAGATTTAACATAATACAAGGAAAAGGAAGAAGCATCTGTATAGTTATTTCTGTGGAGTTTCTTTCCTTAGAGATCCTTAATGTGTTTCTCTGCTGATATATCAAACACAGAAATCCTTTGTGATGGTCTTGAGATGTGTGTTTGTGTTGGTACGTCCATTTCACAAAGCTGTGTGAATGCATGAAGGGTTGGACGATATTTGAGGTCCAGATATGAAAGGTTTCCTTCTGTCCTTGAAGAACACTTTAACCTATTCATGCTAAAATAGGTGAAAGAAAAGGGACTGGAAAACAATAGAAAAGGGCTTGAAAATGCATTGCAGGAGAATTACTGAAGTGCAATTGACACAAGGGGAAAGGAATTCACAGTTCTTGTTATTTCTCTGTTTGGGTAGACAGATCTGTAATGTGTAGAGTGGTTTTGCATTTCAAACAAAACTACAGTGGGTACGGAAAGTACTCAGACCCCCTTAAATTTTTCACTCTTTGTTATATTGCAGCCATATGCTAAAATCATTTAAGTTCATTTTTTCCTCATTAATGTACACACAGCACCCCATATTGACAGAAAAACACAATGTTTGACATTTTTGCAGATTTATTAAAAAAGAAAAACTGAAATATCACATGGTCATAAGTATTCAGACCCTTTGCTCAGTATTTAGTAGAAGCACCTTTTGAGCTAATACAGCCATGAGTCTTTTTGGGAATGATGCAACAAGTTTTTCACACCTGCATTTGGGGATCCTCTGCCATTCCTCCTTGCAGATCCTCTCCAGTGCTGTCAGGTTGGATGGTAAACGTTGGTGGACAGCCATTTTCAGGTCTCTCCAGAGATGCTCAATTGGGTTTAAGTCAGGGCTCTGGCTGGGCCATTCAAGAACAGTCACAGAGTTGTTGTAAAGCCACTCCTTCGTTATTTTAGCTGTGTGCTTAGGGTCATTGTCTTGTTGGAAGGTGAACCTTCGGCCCAGTCTGAGGTCCTGAGCACTCTGGAGAAGGTTTTCGTCCAGGATATCCCTGTACTTGGCCGCATTCACCCTTCCCTCCATTGCAACCAGTCGTCCTGTCCCTGCAGCTGAAAAACACCCCCATAGCATGATGCTGCCACCACCATGCTTCACTGCTGGGACTGTATTGGACAGGTGATGAGCAGTGCCTGGTTTTCTCCACACATACCGCTTAGAATTAAGGCCAAAAAGTTCTATCTTGGTCTCATCAGACCAGAGAATCTTATTTCTCACCATCTTGGAGTCCTTCAGGTGTTTTTTAGCAAACTCCATGCAGACTTTCATGGGTCTTGCACTGAGGAGAGGCTTCCGTCGGGCCACTCTGCCATAAAGCCCCGACTGGTGGAGGGCTGCAGTGATGGTTGACTTTCTACAACTTTCTCCCATCTCCTGACTGCATCTCTGGAGCTCAGCTACAGTCATCTTTGGGTTCTTCTGTACCTTTCTCACCAAGGCTCTTCTCCCCCGATAGTTCAGTTTGGCCGGACGGCCAGCTCTAGGAAGGGTTCTGGTCATCCCAAATGTCTTCCATTTAAGGGTTCTGGAGGCCACTGTGCTCTTAGGAACCTTAAGTGCAGCAGAATTTTTTTTTTGTAACCTTGGCCAGATCTGTGCCTTGCCACAATTCTGTCTCTGAGCTCTTCAGGCAGTTCCTTTGACCTCATGATTCTCATTTGCTCTGACGTGCACTGTGAGCTGTAGGGTCTTATATAGACAGGTGGGTGGCTTTCCTAATCACGGTCAATCAGTATAATCAAACACAGCTGGACTCAAATGAAGGTGTAGAACCATCTCAGGGATGATCAGAAGAAATGGACAGCACCTAAGTTAAATATATGAGTGTCACAGCAAAGGGTCTGAATACTTATGACCATGTGCTATTTCAGTTTTTCTTTTTCAATAAATCTGCAAAAATGTCAAAAATTCTGTGTTTTTCTGTCAATATGGGGTGCTGTGTGTACATTAATGAGGAAAAAAATGAACTTAAATGCGTTTAGCATATGGCTGCAATATAACAAAGAGTGAAAAATTTAAGGGGGTCTGAATACTTTCCGTACCCACTGTATATATTTGTAATATGTCAATGAAAGCCAGGACAAAAACTATTTTGTATTCACAAGCTTCTACATTGTACTGATTTGACCTGCCATCTTCTTGACTGGCATGTGCTTTTATCAGAACTTCTGTATATTGCTTTTCTACATGGATATAGCTTTCTTGTGTCTGATGGAATATAAACCATTCTTAAATTGTGCTCTTACTTTCAGTCAACAGAAATCTGTTATTTTTGTGATATTCATCTTTGGTTTTCTAGTTATTCCTGAGATTTTGAGCCAGTTTGAAAATTATTCTTTTGATGAATTGAGTTGTGAATATTCTGTGTGGCACCACAGTCGGTGAACTGCTGTTGTGTTCAATGTGATTGTTGTGGTTTTTATGGTGGAGACAATAAGTGCATTGGTTGTGTTTTATGTACTTGCAGTTTCCTGTCAAGAGTAATGATTGTACAATGATAATATTTTGTTTGTGTACATTTGGGTATTTCTGACTTGATACACAGTGATTGCACACACACACAAAGATGTTCATTTATAAACATGTGTTTTGATTTTACATTATCTTTGACATTTGTACAAAATGATGCATCCAAGGAACTTTTTGTAAGAGATGTCCGTCTTTGGTACAGTAGAGAAATGGCGGCCTCTAGTGGTCACATGTATCACTGTAAATACTGTATAAGACAGGAAATGTATCCCAATGTGCCAATATGAAGACAAAAATGACAAATTTTCTCAAAATTGCAAAAATTATTTATACTTTTAGCCTGTTTGATTTCATGACTTGATGACTAATTATTCAATTAAATTTAGATTTGAATATCTATTTGGCATGTTAACAAATGGCCACATTTACTGACAGTTGTTTTTGTATTCAAAAAATGGGGGGTGGTGTTGTATACCAACAAAAGATGCCAAATAATGCAAGGATTCTCATTTATATTTGTAATGCACATTGTTATTCTTATCATAAGTAGATAGTTTTTATATTGTTGCCACACCCATACGGTCAATATGAATATTGTACAAAAAGACGCACAGGATATACTATAATATGAACATGACAGAATGAGTATGTTGGATTATGTTGGATGCAATGAACATACATAATGTTATGATTTGTGCTATATATAAAAGATATGTAAAAAAAAAAAATCTCATGCCTGTAAACAGTGGATATTTTATCTGCTTTCAACACAATGTGCTCCAGTGTCATAATACATTCATCAGAATATGCGATTTTTGTACTTCAGTATTGGGGAAACTACCAAAATGGTAAACACAAACATTTAGTTACATTTCAAGTATGCCAATCATATTCATATTTCAAGTCAATAAACAAACAGGACAAAAAAAATATCTGTTTTTGTATCACACGTCAAGACTGTAATTCACCTGGAATGAATGCTTTTTATTGAGCATTGCCTTGCCTTACAGTGGCATTATTACTGTACACGATGTCACATTTGAGACCTGGTTTAAACTGTACCCCCTGAGCAGCCAAGTAGACCAGTTTTAGGCTTTTCAGCAATGGATAATCAGGATGGGGTGAGTAATTTTTATTTTATTTTTGAAAGCTTAGCATTATATCTGAAGTCAGTATTCTGCCCTGAATGCCAAAAGTCGAGTCATCAGTTATTTGTAAGGGGAATATTAATTATATAATCAATTAACATTAAGTATTAAAATGTTAATATTAATTCTAACCTCTTCCCATTCTCATAATGTGTAAAAGTCAAACAACAGAGATCTTTGCTGAGGTGGAAAGACCCTTTTTTTATTACTTCGATATTTTGTAATTGAATCATACTGTATTCACTCTACTCAGAAAGCTGCAGGTGTGTGAATGAGAGGTTAAGGCCGCTGACTCACCTGGTAAGAGTTACAGCTGGAGCTCGTTTGTTGATTGGTGGGATGGGCATAAAGCTGCAAACAGGTTTCAACAAACCAAACGTGGAAAACACTCTTCAATTTGATACTGCGTAAGAAGTCTCGTTATTTTATGATTTCTTACCTTAGAGTCTCGCAACCTGTCTGACACTAACATTAGCGCCGAGTGTGTGAGTTTAAGCTGAAACTGATCAAACGGAAGTGAGGTCGTTGACTGCCTTACAGTTCTGCCTGTTCCCACGATGAGGCCCGATGAAGTTAGTGAGGGGAGTCTCAGACAGGGCTAATGGGACCAGGCCAAAGACGAAGACATGTGATGATGAAGACATGTGATGATGAAAACAAACTTCATGTGACCCATGGCTAATGAGCGGCTCATAAAGACACCCAATTGTGTTTTCTTCAGTCAGTGCGGAGTTGCTGAGGAGAGCCCACCAGTCAGGCAAGTACACAGACATTTGATATATAATTTATTATTCAAAGGGATTTTCTGATGTTTATTCTGCTCTAAAGTGATTACATGATGTGTTTTTACCAAGAACAGACTACAACATGCTCTTAATACGCAACAGGAATGAACTTTTATCAGCGTTCAGTGTTTTTTCTCCCGTTTTAATAATGACTCATTTCAAGAATGCATGTCACTTATTTGTATGTAATTAGTTTCAACCACTTAGTATGCATAGTTACTTTAAACTGAATCTGAACCTCTAAATAAGTGTTAAAGGGCTGAACTCTGACTGCGCCACACCCGCAGACATTAATCAGGCTGATCCATAGATGCGCAATTACATTGATGTCCTTGACAATTGATTTGATATGATCTGACTTAATTACCATTATTACGGTTAGGTGCCTTTTTCACCATTATTTGATCATTAGCTTAATTAATAAAATTTTGGAAAATAGTGAAAAATGTCCCAGAGCCCATCAATTGTACAAAACCCAAAGATATTAAGTTTCTCATAGAAGAAAACCAGCAAATATTCACATTTGAGGAAACTAAAACCACAGTTTTTGCTTGAAAAAGGACAATGTTCAAAACTGGTTCTAATAAACTATAGTTTGGGTGCTATTTAATTTTATGTAACTCAACTGAGTAATCATTTCAGCTCTGTCAATTTTATGTATGTTGTGTAATTGATGGTGTCAATTTCACTTTGTTTCCTTTGTTTGCACCAGCAGGGTCTAATGAATCTCAGCCTAGCTTTTCCCAGATCCACTCAGATGCCCCTGACTGGGAAATCAAATTGTTTTTAAATGTACTGTAAGGGACAGATGCATTATAACAAAGTGCAAAAACATGTAATGGATAAAGGATCAGAAATGTATTGGATTTTTTTTCTTCCCCAATAATCAAAGCAAGAGAAGTTTATGATCACTGTTTGCAGAAAACAGACATGATGTATTGCGTTAGCTTGCACTCGTCTTCTACTCTGACTCTACTAAGAACAGTGTCTTTTTTTTCCCCCTTTTTACTTCAGCCTCTGTAGATCATTTCAACCCTAGATGAAGTGCAGGATGCAGACTATTAAGACGGTGGAGACCCAAGTGCCCTTTCTGAAGGAGAGTTCCTTCATTCCCGCTTTCAAAGGCAGGAGGAAGAGCAGCATCACCAACCTCCTCTGTAAACCGCACTCACTCCTTAATCAACACCACCAGCAACAACAATGTATTTTAGAGCATCAGCAGCATCCTAAGCAATTTCTTCCCCCTTCAGTTGAAAATGAACAAGGGCAGTGCGCTCGGGAGCATCAGTGGCTTGTGTGTTTGACCAGCAGCCCGTTATGCAAGACAGCTGAGTGTGCAGGAGCAGATGGGGATAGAAAGGAGGAGCAGAAAGAGGGGAAGGATCAGATAATACACGGGGCTGTGCCAGGGATGGAGGCAGAGCTGCGAGTGAGTGCTTGTGAGCCTGTGGCTGTTAGTGCCAGTCTCCTCCTCCTTTCAGCATCAGTGGTGCTGGGGGAGCCAGCATCATTCTCACAGCTGCCTCTGACTGTTGTGGGCAGACAGCAGGGTTTAGGCAGATTTGAAACAGCTCTGACTGACAGAGGACCAACATCAATAGCAGCCCAGGGGGAAGACCAGCATGCCCAGCCTCGACCCAAGCAGCAGGGCCTGTTAGCCAAGGGTGTCCGCCTGATCAGGAACATGGGGAATTCGGACACAAAGCAGAAAAGAGGAGGAGGAAGTGGTGGAGCAGCAGGGGATGTTTCCTGTGATGGTGATATTGATGAGAGACATGCAGACAAAAAATCTAAAAAGTCCCAGAGTAAGATAAGTAAAGGAGGGGGCAGTAGTGGTAAGAAGAAATCAGGGTCCAAGAGTTCTGTGTTTTCTGGTATAAGGATCAGGAAAAAGGCAAAAGGATTGGCCGTGGATGACACGTTGGAAGGTGGGAATGCAAGGCTGAAACCCAGTGCAGAGAGCCTGTCAGCTGACGACAAGGGCATGCTATCAGATGTCGAGGGCAATCTAAGCTATTTGACCGGAGACAGTCACCAATCTGTGCTGGATGAGACTGGCCAGAAGACGAGCTCAGAATCGGACCCTGACCTATATAGTTTTTACTCGGCAGCAGCTGAAAATGAAGATCTCTTCTTTGACATCCAACAGGCCGTGAAAATCAAATGTGTGTCTAGTGAAAGCGTACTGGAAACGGTGACTGGCTACTTAACTGAAATGTTGACCACTGAGGGAAACAAAGCCCCTGAGCAGGTAGTATCTCCCAAGTTATTTAATCTGGATAAGGGAATTGTCTGTCCCCGCATTAGTAGTGAAAGTGTAGCTGAAGAACTTGGCACGGAGTATAAGAAATTTGAGAACGAAAGTCATGACCTACCCATATCTAGAAATTCATCAGGTCCAAGCTCCCTGAGTGAGAGTGGTCCAGACACAGAGGGTAGCAGCAGCCTTCCCCCAAAAACAAACAGCACATATAGCTTCCCTGACACTACAACCACCACCACCTCATTCGAGAGTGCTGAGGAGCCCCAGGATGAGCTGCTCTTCCAGCATAGTCAAGGTAGTCTGGCTGCACAGAACTCTTGTGTGCCGGGTTCTCACTTGTATCCCATGGTGGCAGGGCCAATGGGGGCTCACAAAAGTGCAAGCAGCGAGGACTTGTCTAAGGAGAGGGTGGAGGAAAAGGAAACCACGAGATGGGACTTGTTCCTGAAAAGGCGGAAGAGTAGTTTTTCTTTTGGCCAGCTAACAGACAGCGTTGCGGTTCCTGAGTGTAGACGGGCTTCCTCCAGTTCCTCTTCAACTGTTAAATTCTACCCTCCAGTCCTCCCCTCCTATGTTAAGACCACCACCAGACAGCTCAACTCTCCAGTTGGCTCACCCATCACCAGTCCCTATGCACCCAGGAAAACAGATGCCACCACTGCTTCAGTGGAATCCAGTGGGGCCCAGGGTTTCGGGGTACGCAAACAACGTTCCTGCTCCATTGCTGGGCCCATCGGTGTGTCTGCAGACTGGATCCCAGACCTGGATGAGCTAAGAAGAAGGAATGACGGCAGAGCCAAATTTCCAGAGCAGCCGACATCATTGAGTAGTTACACAGGCGGGATTTACTGGACATTGGGTGCCAGGAGAGCGCAGTATGGACGGCAGGCCTGTACAACTACAGAACCCCACCTGGATGTCTTCTCTGGTGAGTCACATATGAAACAGGTGTCTGAACTGTTGCCACACAAACATCTATCATTCATGTTGTAGTTTTTGACTAATGAAAATTGTAGTTTCAAAACTGGTATTATGAGATTAGTATTGTGTGTTAATGTATCTTTAACTTCATTTAGCTTTTTTTTTTTTTTCCCCACTACTGAATTAACACCATCTCATCACCCCCCATGTAAATGGTGTGAACAGAGTTTACACGTGGAGGTGTTTAATTATCACATCTGAAACCACTCTAGACTTTATCATATCTAAAAATAAGTAATTATCAAAGCAATAATCAGGATTCATTTATCTTTACATCCATAGAAAATGAAGCTCTCTGTTCTCCAGACCACTTTCATTTTTGTACTTCATCTCACTTCTATTCTCAGGTCATGCTCTGTTGGACAGGCTGTGTATGCACCATGGTGATGGGTCTACAGAAGAGGAGGCGAAGGAACTGTGTCAGCGAATGCTGGCCCAGGGTCTGCTGCAGCCCTTCGGCGATAGTACTGCAAAAGTCCGTGGTGACAGCACTGGCTCAGTGGTCTTTAATGTAAGAGCTTTCTCTTCAGTCTGTCATCCTGTTCATTTTTCTAAAATGACAGGACTTTTGTTCACCATAGAAGCGGCTTTTTTTTTGGTGGGGGGGGGGGGGGGGGAGTGATTCATTTTTACTATAGGGGACATACAGTATTTCAGTGTTTAAAAACTCAAAGGTCAGTGTCACACTTTGAGAGACATTAACTGCAGCAGCACAGCTCCAGTTTTGATTAAACTGTAGTCATTTGTGTTGCAGCATGTTGGTGTTTCGCTCTAATTTACATTTCTCACATTGTTTTTATAGCAGTTCATTGCCTGCAGATAGTATAACATGGACTGATAAGCAAAAGAGCATGTGCTTATAAGATGAGATGTTCAAAGAATGTAGCACCAAGTCATCTGCAGTTACCAACTTGGGCACAGTTTGTGCTAAGCTTATCCCAAGTGTTTTTCTGCATTTACTGCTGTTACTCCAATTCATCCCAGATATGGTATATTATCTGAAGAGCTGTGATGCATGTGGTCAGGGTGACTATACCAACGTTGATTCAATTAATCTTTAATTCCACATTCTAGTAATTTGTTGCTTACACAGATCTCATGTACATTGCATTCCCATCTGTTTTTATCATTATTTTTAGCCAACACAGGATTGTGATTATAGATGGCTATGTCTGTCACACCATTACTTGGTCTAGACTGATCTATTGCAATGAATGATTTGCCATGGAACATTATACAGAAATTCCCCCACAGAAGGAATCCTGCTTGATATGCGATTCCCTCGACGGTTCATCTAATATTGTCAACAGGTCAAAATTTTAGTTTGTCCAGTACTTTAATTCATCATCATACCTGCAAAACTACATACATTCCTGTTGGCCTTGGCTACATTTTGTTTTGTACCAATTAGTACTGAAAATGCAAGTATGGTAACAATGTAAGATGGTTTTCAGAGTAAATATTGCCTATTAAATATTTGCATTGTCATTATGAGCATGTGGATGCTCTTATTTAGTTCAAAGCATTGTTGCTGCAGGGCTTGTTTTTTGTGTTGAATGCCAACATGCACGGTGCACTTCCCCTGCAGACAAACATGCATGAACACTACGTGCATACCAAAATACAAACGGACAAAAGCCAGATTTTTCACCAGGCCATGCAGTCTCAAGATGATTAATGCAAATCGCTCAAATTGAGTTGCAATCACAATATCCAGAAAAACAGTCTTTGTGTACAATTCTGCCAATGGTCACAGCATGTTTTTTAAAATCAAGCATTCATATGTACAAAAGGAAAGCCTGTGATGCACATCTGGATTAATAGCAGTCTCTTTGACACACACTCAGTCACAAATAAATACAAACACACACAAGCATTTATGCTTGCGTAAACCATCTGCTGACTGTTATGTAATAACTCCACGTGCTTTGGGCTCAGGCTGCTCTTCCTGAGCAGAAAGCTCCCATTTCAGGATTGGACACAAACTCTTGGCTGCTATTCTTCCCCCCATGTCCCACACTATTCAGCTTGACTAAGAACAACCCTTGCTGTTGGAGCTTCCATCTGACAGCTAATCATCAAATTTCGTCTTTGCTTTTCTGAAACATCGCAACTGAAACCCCTGTAATATCCCCAAGCTTTATTCACTTCCTTTTACTGTTAAATTCTGCCTTGAAATCAGTCACTTACTGCATCACCTCTTCTTTTTCCATCTTGCTTTCCTTTTATTTCCACCCTAATCTCTGATCTGCTATTTGTACTCTGCTAGCTAAATATGGTAGTGTATCCCATTTCATTTGTGGGTTTTTTCCCCTTCCCCTGGCATGAACAAATGCAAGTGATTCATTTATTTTTCTGCATATGCCTTGAAATTAAATCCTCATCACCTTCATTCAGTCCAAAAATGGGGTTAGTGATTTATGAACTCTGTATAAATTGTCATCCTTTTTTAGTTGAGTGGCAAAGGTTCATCACTCTGGCATGTTTTGTACCTTGTCTATTGTTGCCTGTACATTAGATTATGGGTTTTGTCCTAAGTAAAAGCCTCAATCAATATAGGTCAAGTTTAAATGGGAAATGTAGGGCCTTGGGGGGAACAAAATGTCCTGTGTGCTCAGACATTATGCATCTTTACACAAATTTCTGATCTCACTTAACCTCTAGAGTCCCTGCGTCCTCATATGAGGACCGCACAGCTTGGGTTTCCAAAGCTCAGGACTCTAGAGGTTATGTTACCCGCTTCACACTGAAGCATAGTAACATGTAGTGTGTCACTGTGTGACCATCTCTACATGCCATTTTCCTGTGAAATAATTACGGGGGGGGGGGGATGCAAAGCACAAGAAGTATTTAGCAAAACAAAGTTCAAATTATTCGGAATAACTTGTACCTTTTTGAAGGAACAAGCGCCATTTTAAATTTCCCACGTTCACCCTTGCACTGCTCAGAGCACACACAGAGCACTCAGAATGAGCCTCAGTCTTTTGGGTGTTTGTCATCTTTAGACACCTTAACTACTCAACACAATATGAATAGTAATATGCAAATTCTCAGATTGTAATTGGTTGCTTGAGGTGATTAGGAAGGTACTGTTTGAGGAACATGACTTGCTGTTGATTAAAAGGATTATGCAGTTCTTACCTTTTGAACCTGTTACACAGGTTAATAAGCAATTCTAGATTAGCATTGTTTGCCTCAAGAGATTGACAAGATGTGCAGCTGTGACTGTAGAGTGCCATCTTTTATTAACTACTTAAAAATAAGAGACCATGTCAAAGTAAGCCTGTGGTTGCTTACTATATCAAGACATCTTGAAGGCAGAAATTCATGCAAATGTCAGCAGTTAATGTGTTTTTGTTAAATGCGGACAGGACAGGTTAAGTTTAAAACAAAAATATGCTTAGCCCTCAAAGTTATAGTCATTGTTTTACTTTTAAGTTGTACAAATAGCCTGATATTTTGAGGCACTAGATGGGGAGGGCTTTGACTAGAGTTTATCCTCAGGTGTTGTCACACTCAAACTTTGCTTAAAAAAATGCTTTCACTTATCTCATTTCCCTGGGGGGAACTTGCTAACCTTTTTAAATATAGTGTATTCAAAATATATTTACACTGTATGCTTTCTACAGCAGGTACTAATCCTCTGAGGGAACGCAAACATCTGAACTGGAATCTGATCTCATTTACCGTATGCACTTGTTTTCTAAACTTTGTACAGGAGGAGCAGCTGTACACCTGGGTAACTGTAGGGCTACCAGTGTCTGCCCACCTGTGGGAACTCTATGGGGGGCAAACCACAGGCAGAGTACAGGGCTTGAGATCCCCTTTGAATCAGTCATCCACCAAGACACCTGGCACTTCACACTCTCAGGTTGGTTGCATCTTCTTTTCATCTCTAAATATTGTCTGGTATGTTTGCTCTGTCTACACTCTGTGCACAGTGCTTACTTTGATTTATAGTAGAGCCTTTTGTTTTGCTAACACAGCATCTTTTTGTTTTGTGATCATTTGTCTGTGCCTTTCATTTTTAAACCTACAAACATTAAAATTGCAGGTTCCTTGCAAAGTACCGGCGTATTAAAACCAAATTATTGAAATAATAGATTCGGTAGCATTGTATAAATACAGTTTCTTGGAAGAACACTTACTAACTGTAGTTATTCCCCGCAATGCTACTATGTGGCTGACACTCTTTTGATTTACCCTTAAAGCCTCCTATTTCAGTGGAAGTCGCACATGAAAGGCGCACACAAAGAAAATATTACATTTTAAGCATACTCGGTGGTGTTCACACTAATAACGGGTTGAATGGAGATGTTAAAGGTTTTTCAAATAGTACAAAATTATGTAAAGAAATTTGCAAAGTGAGAATAGTATCTTGATGGAGAAGCTGAAGTAGTGAGAGTTGCACATTTGGATACACAGTACATTTAGTCTCTACAGGATTATCAAGACTCGGAAAATGTGTCGGATTTCAAAATAACATCTGAGTCAAATGTCAACTGTGTGACCTGTTGAGTACAGTGCATCTTTTGTCTCTCAAGTTGCTATGGATAAGCAGCATCAACTGCAAATAGTTGTTGTTGTTTTTTTGTCCACCAGAGGGCAGGCTTGTCTTGAAAGTCTAGTTGGTTTAATAATGAACCTCCCTGTTTCCTAGAAGACTAAATAAATGAACATTCTAAGAATCAACAATGTGACCACAACTGGGGAATGTGTACTAGTAGACACAAATGAGGCCCGACGAGACTCGCTGTCTCTGGGGTCAAATCTTTCGATATCCCCTCATCCTTGTTCTAACCAGCCTGGAGCCGGAGGTCTGGAGTCTAGACGTAATGCACATTCTTGACTCTTCTTTAGCTCATAGCTCTGTCATAAAGCTCCCTCAGTCTTACTACTTATGAAGCTTAATTTATTAAATGTGTTTATAATGTAATGGCAAATTTTCTCTGCTACTCAGCATTTAGAGGACAATTTGCTTAAAGACATTTACATGTCAGGAAAACGGCACAAACTCAGGTTTGTTAACCTTAATGTTAAGTAACTTTTGTTTGCCGACAGGCAGAAAACAGCAGTTTGAGGCCAAGTCGGTCATATTCAGAGGATGAAGGCTGTTGCATCCCTCAGCTTGAGAAGATTATTGATGACCTGCGGATTAAAATTGATGTGTTACAGGGCCAGCAGGCTTCCTTGGCAAAGGGCAATGGGGATGATAGGGGAGCTCTGGGTGAAGCCCACCAAAAGACCCCACCGATGAGAGGAGGAAGACTGGGAAAGATGAACCAGGAGGTGTCTGTTCAAACCTCACCTGTGGAGGACAGGTTTAGGTTTGACCTGCCTTTCAACAGAGGATTGGGCAGCATGTCCTCCACTGTTTCATCCTCCATCACAGAATCTACACAGAACTTTGTCTGCACATGCCAGCAGAGGCAACAGAGCAGCACCCATCCAGCTCCTCCACCTCCACCACCACCACCACCACCACCCATTCCCTCTTTGTTTTCTGGAGGTATGCCCCTGCCACCACCTTTAACAGGAGGTGTCGCTCCTCCTCCTCCTCCTCCTCCTCCTCCCTTACCTGGGCTTGGACCTTGTCTACCACCACCTCCGCTACCGGGTATGGGTCCTCCTCCACATCTGCCTGGAATGGGCCCCCCACTTCCGCCACCACCCCCAGGCCCCATGCCCCCCATGATGGTCCAGGAAACTGCCCCTGGCAAGGCTCTGATGGAGCCCCCCAAGCCAATGAAGCCACTCTATTGGACACGCATACAGCTGCATGCTAAAAAGTAAGGTTATGCTGTATGAAGTACAGATAGACATGGATCATTTGCACAAAGGTATTCTCTGAACAGTAGAGAATTGAGAGGAAGCTTGTTCACTTAAGATAAAGATCGGCCACATGCTGTGATGCTAACCTTGTGGAAAATGAAAGTGATGCAGTCCAGGCATTGTGCTCAACAGTGAATTGACTTGAACCTGGTTTTCTTTCCTTAATAAGGCTTGGAAATTTGTAGTCGAGTAAAATGAAATTGTTGTTTAGAAACATGATTTACTTGCAAGTAAGGAACTTGATACTGAATATGATTTATTGGCCAATGGATTTGGCAAGTGCAAAACATTTATTCTGCAAAATGTGACAAATGAGTTCTCATAAAAAATCAGAGGACAATCTAGATGCCAAAAATGCCTGTTGTGATGAAGTAACACATGAATTACACTATAAAAGTGAACATGGCTGTACGTTTTCCAAACAATACCTGGCAGATTAGAGCTCGCCTACTTGCACCATAAATAATTCCTCTTTTCTCGTATCTTTAGACACACTGGCTCACTGGTGTGGGAGAAAATTGAGGAGCCAATTGTAAACTTTGAAGAATTTGTGGAATTATTCTCCAAAAGTGCTGTTAAAGAGAAGAAAAAACCAATTTCTGACACAATCAGCAAGTCCAAGGCCAAGCAGGTACAGTATGTTTTGTCTGTGTTCCTTTCGGTATGTATGTCCAGTATACTACATCTGTATTGGTTTATGAATACGTGTGTGTGTGTGCGTGCGCGCGCGCACATAGCCCCATGGGTCAGGGCTTTTCCCATCTTCCCCCTCGCTTCTCTGATGCCCTCTTCCTTTCAATTCCTCTTCACTGTTGTGGTCTGAGCTGCTTTGAGTGACGAGAGGAACTGCCTCAGCCAGACAGTTATGTGGTGTGAGCTCTGGCTCCCACCCGGCTCTCCTGTGACCGTCCAGTGGCATTGAGCCAATGTCTCGCTTGCGGTGAGGAAACTTCATAACAGAGAAGCTTGGGAGCTATGTTCTGTGATGTGGTTTGTCCCATTTTGCTTTCTGTATAACTTATTTTATAGACCGATTGTTTTCCTCTCCAGTGCCCATCGTTAAGCCATCAATCTGCAAGGCAAACATTTTGATTCACGTTTTAAAAATGCTTTAGTTAAGATTTTATGTTGATGTACTCTTTGCCTAAATAATGTTACCACAGGGAGGAATGGTGGGCTGATCCAATAGAACTGATCAATACTATATTTTCCCTGTGATGAAATGTTGGTATCAGCTGTGTTCACTGGTGGGAAATCATCTTAGTTTATGGGAAGTGATGAAATGAACCTTAACCCCAAAGAAGAAACTTTTCCAAGAAAGGTTCCAACTGAGTGAAAGTTGGACTTGCATCACATCAAGGAAAGTCTGTTTTAACAGAGCAGAGGACACTCACTCTGCTTGCAACAATGGTTGAAGTCCTCTAGCTTTAAAAATAAAAACAATCAATGTAGGTTGACTTTAGCATTTTCTGAAGCAACTTTACAAAACTTTTTTTTTTTTCCACTATTTCAAATGTTGTTTTTGCCATTCTCCAGTCTGTCTGCATTGCTTTTGCTTCTAGTTCTATATTTGTTGCTTTGATGGCATTACAAGTCTGAAAACAGCCCAGTGGAGTGTAAATGGAGATGAAGGGGCCTACCACTGGTGTCCTATAAACCCTGCCAGGTATTACCAAAGCTACTGTGTTGTCATCTACAGCAAGATAAATGACTAAGTGGGGGTGAGGAACATGCTAGAGATGCAGCCAAAAACTGTCAAAATAAATAAATGCGCAGGTTTGAGAGAAACCAAAAATTATATCATATATTTGAGCCTTGGCATCTGTAGTGTTATTGGTTTAATCTGTTCATGAGTTCACTTGTGTAATACCTCTGCCTTGTGCAGTGATTAGAGCATTTGGTTTTGAAAATACTGAGAACCAAGAAGCCCCTCTGTGTAGGATTATATGGCAACTAAATGTTGCTTTCAAATGTCCCTAGGGTCACTACTGTTTGTGGCAGGGGTTTGTTTTCTTTGGTACCACTAGATAATGTAGTCTTCAAATTGTACATATCTGAAGCATAATGTATAGATCAAAGGTTGAGCCTCTGAAAATTGATGCCCAAATTGTTTTTACTTGCCTAAATCCAGCAATTTTGCCACATAATACACTATTTGTTTTTTCTATTATGCATTAAATGCAGCTCAGTCATGAACCTTGCTCTGAGATTGCAGCTGAATATACAGTATGACAGTTTTACCAGGGAGAACCTCACCTTGCAGTTTTAATCCAATATAGCACAAATGTTAGTGACTGGAGTTTAGGAATTCATGGATGTAGCACACTGAGGGAGACTAGGGACAACCAGAGAGTGTCCTTTTGCTCTAAGACTTTTCCCTTGATATGATTTTCTAATGCAGTTGATGGAGCTTTAAATAAGTCTGCAACCACATCATGAAGAGGCCCATGTTGTGGTTGTACTGCTAAACTGTGAGAAACGAGAAGCAAATTGATGAGTTGTATTCATTCGATTGATCATTGCTGCATGATACTCTTTCGTGCAGATGTTCTCCGGCACTACAGTGCTGCTGAATATAATGAAGTCGCCAACAGAACAGAAACATAAGTAGAACTGTGACTGGAGCGAACCGGCTCATGAGGACTGGCCCCAGGCTTCAAGATGATCGATCACATCTAATTCTTGCAGCCCTTTTCATCCTTATGTTAAGCTCAATTGTTTTGCTGATGAGAAGGGACAAGCATCCTCCCTAAAGCTACTGCTAGCGAGCAGCTATGACGTCAGTAGTCGGCCAGTTTAAAGCCCTCTTCTGACATCAGTATCAGATGTGAAGAAACACTACCATCATCCAGTGTTGACCCTGCTGTCCATCACCAGAGAGGTTTAAAAGAGGAGCTGTCTTTTAGTGTATTCTGCTTTCCTTTTTTAGAGGCATGGTGAATGCAAAGCTGATTTATGTGATGTACAGTGCATCTGAAAGAGAAGAGTGTGAGCTTTTGTTTCATAGTTTGTGCGCAATCTAGCAGTTTTGACAAGTTAATTCTTTGAAAAGGGTTTTTTGTTCAAAAGAACGGTGTGGTAGAGTTTACATCAAGATTCTTTCATCTCAACAGATTTCTTGTACAGTAAACTAGTCAAGAGTTAATTTGTAAATGGAGTTCCACATATCTGTTTTCAGTGTTGATTAATCTAATTACAAAATGTACAAATGTCGAACAACTCTGTATTAAAGGCCATACTGGTGCACTAGAGATCATAAACGGATCAGAATAATAACTGTGATTAAGGGATATTCTTAAAGCAAAAACATGGATCTCACAGTTGTTGGCAAAAACACTGGAGTTTTCAGGGTTGTCTTGTCCTTTTAAAAAAGCAATTTTTGAAAATGTTCACAATTTCAGTAATTATAGTGGTTCATGGATCCAGCTGTGTTTCATTAAGTGAGTAAAGTAGCAAAGTGATTTGCTGTAATATCAGGGAGCTCTGCTAAATAGTAAACTAATGAACCCTGTGTAGTGTGACTTGAACCCGTTTGTCCATTTTTGAGTTGGGTCAGCTGATGAAACATGACTAATGGTGTATTCTCTGACTGCTCATAGCGCACTAACCCCAGGGCTCACGCGCTCACTGTTGAAGCCACTTGGCATCATATCTCCAACAGCCTGTCCCCTGAAGCTATTGTTGAGCAGGAAAAATCGAGACAGTCGGGTCCTAGTGATGTAACTTCCTGTGTGTTTGAAAGGTCTGTGGTCTTTGTGATCTGGTTTAGATGGAAACGTTCTGTCTGGATCACAGTAGGCTATGGGTTTCCTGTCCTGTCCCTTCACCGCTTGTTTTGCTACCCAACACACACGTCTGCTTACTCAGCTGAGCTGTGGTTCATAATGACCCCCTTGGATGCAGTTTTTCATGCATAATAACTCTATTCAACTCCTGGCTGTTTATCTAGTGGAAGGTTTTTTTTGTTTAGCAAATTTTGTTAATGTTGCAGCTTTGAAGACTTTTGATAGTGATTTTTAACAGTCCCTTCCTCTTTAAATATCTGAATCCACAGGATCATGTGCTGCTTAGTAAATAAGCCTCTTAAATGGTCTGCAAGTTTTTTAATTGCCTGCCTGAAAAATGTAGGAAATGGGGAAGAAATTGCCATAAAACCTCTAAACATAATTTTCCTAACATTTGTGGGTGAAAAGTCTTAAGATTTCCTCCAAAGAAACAAAGGGAAGTAATGTTCCTGTATTTTGTTTCCAGTCAATTAACCATTGTATCTGCGTGTGTGCATATTTGGAGTATTAACATCCTTGTCTTCTCGGCCTGATATAACCAAACTGCTCCCATCTTTTTGTATCTTTTAGGTGGTGAAGCTTTTGAGTAACAAGCGTTCGCAGGCTGTGGGAATTCTGATGTCCAGCATTCATCTTGATATGAAGGACATCTGCAATGGTAAGTGTTTATCATGTGCTTATGTGTCTGAGCTTATATAGGTACCACTCTTTGAAGAGTTCTTTGACTTATGGTGCAGTAAAATAGTACAATTCTGAACTGATGTCTGGACACTGCATGCTAGTGGTTATTATTAGGCACACGAGTAGCACAGCTCTATGTCACTCAGTTGATCCACCACTGCTCCAGACTAAATAAATGGGGTAGACTGTGATGAAAGGTTAGCATTCTCAAAACACCACCATGGGTATAGCCTTATAGAGATACTTGGCTGTATACTTTTAATCTTTTCTGGTGGGTCACAAAATGCATTTTGCATGAAAAGCAAGCCAAAAGCATTCTCAGTGAATTGGGTGCTTTACTTAAGTGACAGTGGCTTATGAACTGGGAAACAGCACTGTAAAAACAAAGGAAAAATTAAAAACGTACTAAATTAAGTGTACAAACATAAGATGAACAGTTGTATCGAATCCCACTCTGTCACCATCTTAAACGTTTTTGTTCACAGAATTCAAATGTTGGCCACAATATTGTTTCTGGAGAGCCGTTTATAAAATGCATGTTTTTAGTAAGACTGAGATCGTTTCCCCAGCCTAAACCTCCCTGAAGTAGTTGGCTTCAAGGCATCTCGGCTTCTGTTTTTCTTTGTTCTCATTTTGCATAATCTCTCTTCATTTTAACACCCACTTCTTGGTTCTCAGCAGCTTTCTCTTTCTGATGAGGTGTTACAGTCTTGTCTAAACGACTTTGTTAAAGTGAAGTCATTCAGGAGATGTTGATGGGAACAGACTGCCATCCTGTTTTACTTGCTCTCCAGTCTTCGCTCATCTATGTCTAAACACTCTTCCTCGTCTCTCTCTCCCTCGACATGTACAAGCTGGGTATGTTACATCAAAATATGTAGTACAGAAGCCATGGCTGGTACATTTTGTATGCTTAGCAGTAAAGTTGCTCTGTGGGACTGTTTCTTCTGCAGTATCTTCAAAGCATCTTGCGAGCAGAATTTTCTCTGACTCTGTCAGTCTTTAGTTCAGACATCTTAGGTCAAAGTGGGAGGGCAAGTGGGGGCCGCTCTCATCAGCACTGTCATTCATCTCGTATGTTAGGACAGATTTTGCCATCGTACATAATTAGTGCTGATTGGAAGCTTCAGTATATCATGGAGAATAAGGTGAAAGGGAAGACATCATGCTGGTTTAGTGAAGTACTTGTTAATAATATGTCCTTGTACTTCCCCCAGAACAGTGGGATGCCTACTGCTTCACACAGACAAAATAACCCTGGAAAGTTTTTTTTTGTTTGTTTTTTTCCACTGATATGCATTTTAATTGAAACGATTGTTAGGCATGAACATTTATAGCCTTAAAATACTTTTTCCATTAAGAACGATAAAAAAAAACCTTATTCCTGAACTGATCTCGTGTTCCTCTGTGCCATAACAGATTTAAGATGATTAAAGGATCTAAGAATTGTTTACATAAGAGGATTCATTCGTAAAAGCTTTTAAAAACTCCATTTCTGTGTAGTGAATCATTGTCTTCATCACACAATCAAGAGGAAATTAAACAATGACTAGCAAAGTGCTCATCACTCGGATCTCCGACTTAAAAGAAAAACAATTCCTGAATCACTGATTTCGATTGTATGTTTCATCATGGCTCAGTGAGAAGTCAACATTTTTTTTTTTTTCTTTTTTCCCTTGCAGCTGTTATTTGTTCTTAGACTTGGCCAACGTGGTGTTTGTTTCATAGGACGCTTTTCACGCAGCGTGTACTTCCTGTGAGGCTTTTGAGTGCCAAAGTATTGGGATGGTGGCTGCCATCACTGTGCTGGGGTTGAATGTGGTAGTCTGCCTCAGACCTTGGCAGATGGGTCTGGCTTTTGGTTATAAGAGGTCTGTGTCAGTGATGATACAACTTTCTTCCATGTCTTTTGCAAAAGCTGTCTCTAATCAGGCCAGCCAGCCAGACTCTGGTTAGTAATGAAAACCAAACCGGTTACAAGAGAAGAGTGCGAGATGCAGTAAAGGGAGAGTCGGAGAGAAGGAAGTTATTCTTGTGGTGGCTTTGGAAGAGGAGGCCATGTGGAGAGTTTAGAGAATGACAGCAAAATACAAGGAGAAGGAGGAGGGGATTTGCCCTTGTGGCACAGAAGTGAAGGGATTATAAAGACTACAGGGTTACATAAGGGAGAGAAAGCAATATCAAAGCTGAAAACATGACACACAACAGACTGGATCAATGCAACAGTTGCTGGAGGCTTTTTTTTTTTTTTTGCTTGCCTGCCTCTCAATTTTGTTTTTCTCATGATTTTTTATTTTTGTTTCTTGATCGTCTTCGGAAAGCTTAAGGAGTCGAGTCAAATTTAGTGTTCATATGAGGGGATGCAAAATGAACATTGTGCACATTGTTACTCCATGTTTTATTCCCTTTTGACATGAGCGTTTCTCTCTGTACCTCAATAGCAAATGGGTAGATGAAAACAATGTGAGTACTTTGGGGTGGCTGTGGCTCATGAGGGCAGTCGTCTCCTGACCAGCAAGTTGGTGGTTCGACTCCCGGTCTCCCCGCATGCCTAAGTGTCCCTGAGCAAGACACTGAACCCCGAATTGCTCCCGGTGGCTTGACTAGCGCTGGTGCATGGCAGCCTGTCATCGGTGTGTGTGTGTGTGTGAATGGTGTATGATCTTCTGTAAAGCGCTTTGGCCAGTGCAACACACTGTGAGAAAGCGCTATATAAAATGCAGTCCATTTACCATTTACTTTGGACATCCACAGCAAAATACATATATAGTGCTTCACTGGGTGATTGTGCATATAACACCTCAGCCTCACCACCACAGACCCCCGGGCTCTGTTTGTCTTTAAACATTTACTTTCAAAGGATTAATGCTCGCAGGCGCCAGGTCCTCGTGCCGAGACAAAAAGGCGACACCAGGAATTCAAACAATTCAAACACAGATCTTTGTACCTTTGACAGATTTCTTAGACCTCTGTATTTACGTTTTAGTCTGTGGCCCCTTGCATACTATCATGATAGCTGATAACTAAATCGCGGCACATGACACCCAATGTGAGCCGTGCACAGACTTTTGCCTTTGTCTTATGCCACCTTCAGCTGCAGAAAAGCAAAAACAATTTGATGTGGTGTTGAGCCACTGTTTGTGATTGTCAGTTCAGCCAAAGGAAACTGTTATCTAGAGGTTATAAAAGTGGAAGCCTGTTTGTGGTAGCTTCACGGCGTTCCATGAAGGCAGCAGAAAAATGCCATGATATGATCGTGTTACTATTAATCATGTCATCCTTGTTTCTCATCCACAGCTGTCCTAAATATGGACAATACTGTCGTGGATCTGGAGACTCTGCAAGCCCTTTATGAAAATGTGAGTATAACATAAGGCGGGGCTACTTGGAATCGGAGCTGTGTCTTTATGGTTAGAACAGTCCAAACATTTTTTTTTGTTTTTGTTTTTTTGTTTTTTTTAACTTTGCCACTTTTGGGGAGGATCAAGGCTCATGTGGATAGCTGTTTCAGTAGAGCAGTGAAAAGACAATATCACAAACTGAAACTCATTTCAGCTCTTTCCTGCCAGTGCTGAATCGTATAAATACACAATGTTGAGCAACAAACCCAGTACAATTATATAAAGTAACACACTGACAGCTCAGGCTGGTTTTGGTCATTTGGTCTGGGAAAACCTTTTTCCCAGACCAAATGATTTGCCTCTGCGGTTTGCAGTGAAAGTATCATTTTGGAACGGTTTGCTTGTGACAAATAGAATGATTTATGGTTACACATTTCATGCCATATGAGAATAACAGGCAATCATTTTATTATACAAACCATGATATCAACAAAATGGCAAATCATTCATCAGCTGTTAGTGTTGTTGTGTTTGGCTCTTGACTGTGGGTAAACTGTGAAACACCAGTTGTAATCCATCAAAAAACACCTTTCCAAGATGATCAAAAGCTAAACTTTTGTATACAGTGTAGGTGGGGGGAAATCTGTTTTGTAATTAAAATGGTGTCTATAAAATAAAGCAGCATCTCTTTTTCATACACTGCTTCACTGTAGGTGTATTTCTCTATGTAGACTTCTTCCGAAGTGCACCGAAGGAAGTGTGCATTAGATACTAAAACGGGCGAGCCACAGACCGTACTGGTATGTGTACTGTTTGGTGACAGAGCCAATCTTGGGTAGGCCTGTCTGCTGGCCTGGAGGGACACAAACACTTTTACATAGTAAACATGTGTTCTTCACACTGGAATTAATCAACTTGACTTTTATAATCTCATTGCGCAAAGGGACTGATAGTTAAGGAACTCCAGCATTTGGGCTGCACAGCTTCTCTTTAAAGTGTGTGGTTTTAAAGAAAGACCACCCTGAGTTTTACCAAGTGACTTGACCATATTGTATTATATAATATAAAAAATGAAGTCTTCAATACATCTCCATTTTGACTGAACAGTTCCTTGTACACAGTAAATACATTCATCAGCCATCAGTGACAGGACATCTCCCCTGGCCAATGGAGACAGTTCAGGACCTGATCAAAGTCAAGTCAGTAAATAACAGAACATGAAAATAGGCACGGTTTCCACATTTCTACTGTGAGATTCCTGTAAATTTCTTTTTTGGCACAGCTACACAGCAGCAGCTTGGACCTTTGACTGCTACAGGCATATATTAATAATGTTGATCATGGGAATGCGACAGAGGCTTGAGATGAGCTGTGGTTATGAATCAGTGTGTTGTAACTGAGGAGCAAAAGTCTTCTAACCTCTCCGCTCACCCCGAGACTTTAAGCCCTCTCTCTTTCTCCCCCTTATGGCCGTAGGCTATGTTATTGAGTGGAGGAGCCAAATTGTTTCTTTTGTATTGCAAGACTCCATCCTGTCTGTGGGTCTCCAGCCCCCTAAACCACAGTTGGCAGCACAGTCGGTCTGTCTTGAGGAATGCGAGGGGCTTCTAATGGTTACACCCTCAGTTACTGTGCTAGGAGCTAGATCACACACTGCTCTCCTTCACTC